AGATTTTTAGGGGGATTTTGAGGGGGTTTGGGGGAATTCGGGGGCGGTTTTGGGGGGTTTTGCGGGGATTTGTGGGATTTTGAGGGAATTTAGGGAGGTCTGGGAGGATTTTGGGGGGATTTTGGGGGGGTTTGGGAGGGATTTGAGGGGGAGATTTTGGGGCGATTTTTGGGGAATTTTTGGGTCTTCTGGGGGATTTTGGGGTGCCCTGGAGGGGGGTTGGGGGTCCCGGGATGGTTTTGGGATTCCCGGGAGTTTTTGGGGTGCCCTGGGAGGGTTTTGGGGATCCCGGGGTAATTTTGGGATTCCCGGGAGTTTTTGGGGTGCCCTGGGAGGGTTTTGGGGATCCCGGGATGGTTTTGGGATTCCCGGGAGTTTTTGGGGTGCCCGGGGGGGGTTTTGGGGTCTCCTGGACGTTTTGGGGTGCCCCGGGGGGTTTTGGGGGTCCCGGGGGGTTTTGGGAGTCCCGGTGGGTTTTGGGGTGCCCCTCACTGACCATCCATGGAGTGGACGGACTCGAAGGCCACGATTTTGGGGACCCCGGGGGGGCTGCGCCCCAAGAGCTCGTCCAGGTGCTGGGGGTCGTTGTGGCGGAAGACGAATTTGGGGGCGCCGCTGCGCAGGATGCCCTGCACCATCGAGGCGTGGTTCCCCGCGTCCGAGAAGAACTGGCAGCCTGGGGGCACCCCAAAAACCCATCAGCGCCCCAAAAACCCATCAGCGCCCCAAAAAAACCCCAAAAACCCATCAGCGCCCCAAAAACCCATCAGCGCCCCCAGAAAAACCCCAAAAACCCATCAGCACCCCAAAACCCCATCAGCGCCCCAAAAACCCCCCAAAAACCCATCAGCGCCCCAAAAATCCATCAGCGCCCCAAAAAAACCCCAAAAACCCATCAGCGCCCCAAAAAAAAAACCCCCAAAAACCCATCAGCGCCCCAAAAATCCATCAGCGCCCCAAAAAAACCCCAAAAACCCATCAGCGCCCCAAAAATCCATCCGCGCCCCAAAAATCCATCAGCGCCCCCGGAAAAACCCCAAAAGCCCATCAGCGCCCCAAAAACCCATCAGCGCCCCAAAAAAA